TCCTGCTGAGGAACTGCCAGAGACAAGGTCTGAGCAGACAAAGCATTTTGCACGTGTTTTTGGCTTAGGCAAGCCTTATATTTCTCTCAATGTTTTTGGATGCCTATGAAACGCTCCTGGAGTCCAAAATAAACACCATCTTGTAATGGCAGAATACCAAATGCTGCTAATGAAAAGCAAAGCAAAACAACCTGAATAGAACAGTTTACTACACATCTTCCTAGTTTCAAATAAACAGATTTTTTTCTTTTTACTCCTCTCATTTGATCCCTTTATATTTCTTTGACAATCAGGCTGACCTCTCACAGTTTGTGCTTAAAGCACATAACCTGTTCTTATACCTCTGTGCAACATTTCATATTGGCTGGCTTTAGGTCTTTCAATGCAGAGAAGTCAACGTGCCTGGGCACACAGAGCCTTAGGAAAGAGGTGTACAGTAAATTTAGGCAGGGCACATCAGGGCCTTATTTGCAATGAATAAGAAATATTCATGTAGGACAGAATATAAATTTGATTTCAAAGGCAAAGGGATCTCTATAGGCAGATGACATACTTCAAGAAGATAGGTAGGTTACTGATATCTGTGGCAATATTTTGGACTAATATTCAAAGAGAAAACTTACAGCAATTGATATTCAGAGTGAAAACTTGAACAGCAGGACAAATATAGCAAGGTGTAAAGTATCGTCATCAGTTTAATAACTGTCATAATTGAGCTTCCATCAGGATAGTGCTGGACAAGCAACTAAAACATTCTTATAGAAAAAGTTCCCCCAAAATTAAAAAATCTCCAACACCACCTCCTACAGGTCTGAGAGCCTGCAGGACATGCTAGAGGTGGCCAAAACAGAGATGGTCGTCTGTAAGCAATAAAGGTTTCACGTAGCCTGTGGGCCACACTCTGGGGACCCTTTCTTTACCATGTGCCTTTATGAAAGAACATTCCTTTTATTTGTCTGCATTGAAAGAGGCTTCAGGCCATGCCTGATGTCTTCCTTTAAAGTTAGATAAAGACATCTGCTGAATACTTACATCAACTACAGATATATGGAAATTGTTATGCTATTATGATTAGGCCAAAAATGAAGTGAACAAAGTAACAAACACAGAAACGTTTATGATTTCAGTCAGATAAACAGGAGACCTCTAGACACTTCATAAGATTTCCTTATCCTTTCCAGCACAAGGTTCTGAATGAAAAACTGTTATCCTAACTTTAAAATGTCTTCAGTGATGACAGAGCCAGGGTAGATGCAAGGATTTGCAGAGTAGCTATAGATATCCTAATGAAAGCACCTAGCAGTCACAACTTTGTACCATCACAAAAATACCAGGATATACTAGAAGATAGCCCATCTTCTATAAATTACTAGCTTCTAAGGGTAAGAGATACTCCAGTTTATACCCATTCACTATCTGACAGGATAATACTATTTCTCTTATCCTATTCTCTCAAGCAGAAAAAGAAATTAAATACTGTGCACATCCTTTTTTTATCAACTACCCTAATGCCTACATAAATGCAGTGTGCACCATATTTCAAATAATATTTTTGTGTAGCAACATACAACACACATATGATAAGCAGCTATGAACCTTCTATCTATTAAATATGCAATTACTTACAGGAATGTTGATGAAAACAGTATCAAACTCTGATGCTGACAGAAACCTTTTCAATGGCACCATGAAAAACTGCAAGGAAAAGAAAATTATATATACATCGACAGTGGTATTTTCTAGACTGTTATAAAAACACATGTAAGAATTCTCTAAGTAGTATCTTACTTTCTCTATTGATTCGAGAGTTTCCGTGTATTTCTCTTCAGTTTGCTTTATTTCAGCAAGACAACAGCTTCTTATGTCATTTTCAGTATATTTCTGCAATTACAATGGAGTCAAGTTTAAAGTCATTAAAAGGCACCTAATGGATAACAAATGTATTTATTTGTTTAGAATTAAGCAATTAGGATAACTGCTTCCTGAAATTTTCTGAGTACTACAGCTTCCAAAGATGATAGCAATAACCAAGAATATTTTAATGTTCAATTAGCTGATGACTTTAAGAGTTTTACTAAAATTCAGCATCAAAGGAATATTATGAAAAGTTAATGTTTAGACATAAAACTCTGAACTCTCTGCATATACTTCAGAAGCTAAAATACAAGGTCACATTTCATTTACAACCAGACTGAGAAATCTTATTTAAAATACTCAGCAGTTAATAATTCCATTAAACCTAATGGGGCTAAATCATGTAAGTAATTTTGCATTGCCATAAATATGGGATTCAGTCTAATCCCTGCACTTATTTATAGTTTTTCCCCTTTTAGTTCTTAAGGGGAGTTTTCTCTTCAGACATGATCCGAGTACATCCTCGAATCAGGAAGTGACCTCTAAGTTCAGCTCTTGCATACGTATGCGCGTGTCTTCAGTGAGACCCTGGGATTTTTCCATGTAAATCATCAGACTCATAGGAAATCGAAGTCATTATCAGCACAGGACTCTATAAAAATAGTTTACAAGCACTCTTACTGAAGATCAGGTTTACAGCAGTACAGCTTCAGCCACTTGCAAATCTGATTTCAAATAAAAGAGTAAATAGGTGGAAGAAGATACAGAAGCATCCATGTCAAGCAAGATTTAAAACATATGGAGACATACAGGTCAGCTTGGAGACCTGATACAGTAATCGGATAGACACAGTTAAAAACAAGTAATTGATTCAAAACGTTTTCTCCAGACCCAACAATAAGCAATGTCTTAATAAGCAATAGTACTATCACATCCTTTCTGAAGCCTTTTTATCAGTTTGTAACATCCTTCCAAAGCATCCCTCAAGCAAATCCTTGACTGTATCCCACCTTTCTCACACCACACAGGGAATCCACATACTGCACGTAATAGACCTGATGACTAGATATTTCTCAAATACAGGGGGAGTCAGAGCTAGAAATTTAGTACTATGATTCTTTCCATTCAGGAAAAGACTTTTCACTTTTGAATAAAAGACTTATATCCTCCAGGAACAGCAAAACATTTAGACTGTGTTTTTAACAATTAGCTCTTAGCATGCCCAAGAGCTAGACTCCTTCCAGTCCCTCTCTCTGCTATGTCTACTCAACACACCTGCTAAGCAGACCACAGCAAATAGCAAGCCTCTCTTAAACTGCCCATGAGCCACGAACAGCTCCTATGATACTGCTTGGCAACCTGTCAAGAGTGAGAAATTAATTCCTACCACTTAAACCAGATGCCAAGTTACAGGTCATACAGGCACACAAAGCTTTGCACTGTTTGCATTTCTGTTTGCTGTTTTGACCCATCTCCTTTACCCCTCTCCCTGTTTGTCTCCATGTGACTCCACACAAGCAGCTCCTGCAACTGGAACACGGCTTCTAACTCTCAACTACCAGGTGCCAAGTTATCTCAGAAATTACTGTTTAAAACCCAACTAGTTGAGTTCCTAAATTTCCCACAGCACTGAAGTGTCACCCTTACCAGCTGCAGACAGAATTAACCATTTTTTGATGAGCATCATCTTATTATCAGCCTCATCTCAAAATCTATCATTTATTCCCAGATTCTTTGGCAGGGGAAGCGGGGTATGGTCACAATTAACCATAGTCAATTTATCTCAGTAAAGTATTAGAATTTCACATTTTACAGATTTTTAAGCTATGTTTCACCTTTACCTTTGTGAGCTCAATAGTATTCAAATTGCTTGTGGTATTGCACCAATACAAAAGTTGTTGTACCAAACACAAGTTTGTAGCCGTTTGCAAAATGTGGGTGGTTGTTTTTCACCAACTCTCATATGAGCAGTGCAAACAAAATCTTGGGATGTAGCTTAAAACCATTTACTTCAGGTTTGGGCTCACCTAATCCATTCATAAAAACATTTTTGGCAGAAATCAATGTATCAATTTTCTATCTGTACCACAAATGTCCTGAATTTGAGTGCAATGAGCAAAAAGAGAGAGGAAATAAGAAATAATGTAGAAATAGCAGTAAAAGTGAAAAAAATTGCCTTTGAAGGTCTGGTGCCACCAGAGAAAATTTTAGCAGAACCGTTCACTTCACGAGACGACAATAAAATGAAGGATGAGGGAAGTGCAAAGCATTTTCATTGCTATTGGAGGCTCCGAAAAGTATTGGGTTCATCTAAAAACCTACCTGAAGATGGTCCTATGGTAGTGTTTTCATATGCAAAGAATTCTCATGTAGGACTCAAATGAAATAACTACACAAAATCACCATGTTGGCATACAGTGTATTTATAAACCGGAAAGGAAATCATCACAAATGAGAAATAATCACCACATTCAAGAAAGCTGTCACAGCAAAACAATATAATGTCTCCATTAATTATATGTTGTGGAAAAAAAAATATTTTGCTGTACTGTGTTATCAATTTTCATTTACTTTCTATCAGGAAAAAAAAAAAAAAGTCTTTTTAATCTGAAGTACCTAGGCTGAGATGCAACTAAAATTAAAACATGAGAGTTGTGACTCCTATATTAATCATTTGCTAGAAACACAGATATACAAGAGTGACATTTGCAACAGGAAAGAATCAGAGAAAGTTTACACACTACCAACTGCCAGAGATCACCAACTGCTACGGTTGAAGGAAAAAAAAAAAAAAAGCAGCTACCCACACTTATTATGTAAAACCCAAAAGTTAATGTATTTTGAGTTCCAGTGTAAAATAAAAACTCAAAACAGGATCACAGTAAAGATTTCCTATGATTTGAACACTATTCTAAAACATCCTGCCTACGAGTGAACGTGACTTCATTAGATATAAAAATGTTATTTCAAGTCAGTTTATTTGCCTTTCATTGAGTAAGCTAGGCATCAGGAGATAAACAAAATAAAGAAAATGTTAAAAACGAAGGTAACTTTCTGCTTATCTCTTGATTTACATGCATTATCTGCAGCATTTTGTCTTAACAGAAAAACAGGCTTGAAAACAATATTGTTCCACTCAAAACAATTGAGATTATCTCCTATACTTCTACTGAAGAAGCAAAAAAAGGAAAAAAAACCCACACCCATAGCAAAAACAAAAAATAAAGATCTTTAGAATTCCTCACTTCTTCATATAACTATATTACTAAAAAGCAATACAGAAAAGCAGAGGGAGAAACATGGGTTTCATGGGTGGAC